CAACAGCCGGAAACCATCAATACCCGTTAATTTCCGACGTCGGATTTTGTCGGATTCCGGCAATAGAATCCAATAAAATCTGACAATGAGAACCTATCGGATCCAACGCAATCCGATAGAAGAAAGTATCTATAGATATTTTATCTTAGTTTAATTTAATTTATTTATTTTGTTTTATTTTAAGTCTTTTGAGACTTGCTCGTTCTATAACCAATCAAATACCTGGAGACGGTGTAGCATTCAACGACCCTTTGTTACTTAATGTACATTATGTAGTTCATTTTGCTTTATTTGAATTAAATTTAACTTAATTTTTATTTTGTTGTTTCTTTACTTTATTTCAGTTTCTTTTCTTTTAGACGTTGGTGAGGAACAAAAACAGCCAAAGATGAGGATAAGTTTTTTATTTTTTTTTATCTTTATTTTGTTGTTTGGTGTTATATTTGATTATAGTTTATTTTTGGTTTACTATGGCATGATCTAAGTCCAGAGTGAGTATATTTTTTTAAAACTTGCTTCTGTTTTATTTTAGTCTTATTCGAATTCAATTAATATTTTTAAATATTTTTTCTTTCATTTTATCTTGTTTATTGTAGACTTTATTACAGTATAAAGTCATCAATAGTAACTACAGTTTTTTCTGTTATGTTATTCATTTCTATTCCCTTTTAATTGTTTTTTATTTTATGACATTGTATTCGATTTATTGTGTTCAGTTTTTTATTTTAGTTTCTTCCTATTGTTCTTTGTATTATTTCTTTTAATTTTTCTTTATTTTGTATTAGTTTGATTCTATTTGAATTTAACTTAATTTCTATTTTATTTTACTTATTTTTAGGCAGTTTTTCTAATTTACTTTATTGTATTTTTATTTTATCTTTTTAGTTTAATTAATTGAATTTTTTAAAATTTTTGTTATTTTTTTAAAAACTTTTATTGTATTTTGTTGTACTTTGTTTGAAATATTTTATTCAACACTTGAAATAAATTATAAGGTGATATAGTTAAATTGAAACTATAACTTTGTTTCTCATTGCACAAGAGAGAGAGAGAGAGAGAGAGTGGGAAGGATCAAACAAGGTCTAATGTACAAATATGAATTCAACAGGATTCTATCGGATTTTGAGTGCATCCAACATTTTCCAACTATTGGATCCGACTGTCGGAAGTCGTCGGACCCGGCATCTAACAACTTCCTGTGGGAATCCTGTATCAAGGATTCCGATGGGACTCTATCTGAAATCGCGGGATCATTTGCGGTATCCGATCGAATCCGACTGGTTTCGAGCCTGGGATTCTTCGACCTGGGTTATTAAGCATAGAAAGAGAATAGAATCCTTCAAATATACATTAAAACAATATGTTACTCAACATAAAATGACGGAAATAGGTGTTTGGGCGTCAGTATGGATATCAATCTTCTTTCAATCTTACACCCACAGTCTCAGTCTTTTTCCATCTGTTTTTCACAATCAATATTTTCCCATTGTTTATTTGTTTTTGTACTCATTATTTCAATCTGTTACAATAGTAGAACTATTTTTAAAATAAATTCTTATTTTATTTCAAGTTTTACTCTTATCAATATATTAGTTTTGAATTTCAAGTTTGCATATATCGAGTATCATGGGTTTTTTTAAGGGAAAATTATTACGTAACTTGAGAAATGGTTATAAAAATTTCAAAACACTCTATTACGTAACTTTTAATGTAAAATCGAGTGAGCAAGAAGTTAAATTGTTAATGAAAGCAAATATGAGAAAATATGAATAGATTTGGTTTCGAAATTTAAACACCATCTAGAATCAGGAATTACCGTTCTTTCATCATAAATGCATAAGAATGTTATATTCCTACATCAATCGGAACCAGATGATTTTAAACTTAAATTTTCTTTTTTTTAATAAATTAATTTAAAATAATCATAAAATCAAATGAATTTCAATATATTTTGTATTTATTCTTTTCTGTTTGTTCCGCTTGTTTATCCTTTTTCTTAATTTTTTTTTCAATTTAATTTTAGTTTTATTTTTCCAATTACTCATATTAGCTGATTAAACATATAAAATTAGATCAATATGTATATTTGTTTGAAAATTATTTCTATAGTTGAAAGTTTGATGGAAGCTTTATTTAGAAAAAAAAAGACAATGGGTTTTTTTACTTTTTCATAACTTGCATAATTACTTCACATTTCTGTATAGTTCAAAGTCTTCGTTGTTCTTTTTATTTTATTGAGTAAGAAAAAAACAAAAATATGTATTACTATTTCACGTTATGTTGATTTACTAGACGATCGAATATTTAATATATTCCTTTAGCAAACTTTAGATAATGGCTGATATACAACATCAACATCATTGCTCTTCAGAAGCTATCGCTTACAATGCGACAATGTTTTACAAACCACGAAAGACATATTTAATCATTGATATCGAACCTACGGTCGATGATAGGCAACGCACTAATGATGAGTCACATTTTTCAATCTTCAAAGATTATATGTCTAATAGTAAGTAAATATTGATCTGAGAAGTTTTGTATACTATATTGAAGTAATTGTGTTGTATAATATTTTTACTGTTCTGTTGTATGACTAATACTGACAAGATGTCGTAGAAGAACTTTTCTCTCGGTAGTTGTGTTTTTTTCTTTCTCCTGCAACATAGGAAAGGGTTGGTTGAATCGATAAAAACAACGACTATGGCGAGTCGATGATGTTGTTGTTCTTTTTCTTTCAGTGAAGTGACAGATGCATCAACAAATAAAAATACAAATTTTGTAAATCTTTTCAATGAATTTTAACAAATACTAGAAAAAAAAAATGACTTTGTCAAAATTTGTTACTGATGAAACACCTGTTGTAATAGTGTCATTAAATATATCTGATACTAATGGTACTATTAATGGAACTTTCTCAAAAGTTTTTATGAAAAGTAATTTTTGAGAATTTTTTTCTTTTATTGCAAAAATAAAATTAATAATTCGATATTATTTTAGGACCAAGAGATGATACATCAATTAATAATATTATATTTGGTATTGGTCTAGTTGTTGTCATTTTACTTTTACTTTTAATAATTATTAAATTAATTTATAAATGTTATAAAATGTATCAAGACGATAGTGACGATGAAAAAGAAAAAGGTATATTTGAAATAAAAAAATTCTATTTTTTTTTGTTAGCATAATATTTATATAATTATATATATATATATATTTTAGCTAAACGATCACCTTTATTACCTTCGTCATCATCGCAAGTTGTTCGTCGAAATTCATCTATACGTAATCCAACACCATCAATACGTCGATCAAGTCTCAATATTGAAACTCAAATGGATATTCAAAGAGCACGTTTATCTCAAACATACAGCGATACCCCGCCGGTTATAAAAAAATCATAATGTTGTTTATTTTTATTATTTCAATAAAAAAAAGAATCTGTTGTTGTTTGTACTTCTAGTTTTTTTATATTTTTATCCTTTTATGTTTTTTGTTTCATTAATGGAAAATATGCTCCGATTAATGTGCCAAATATAAACGAATAGGTCCGTCATATGGCTTTTATTTTTTTTTGACGATTATATATACACACACGCATTTATATATAAACAGACAATCGAAAAATTTTTTTGGTATAGCTATGTTGTTTTTATCTATCGCTTTCATCTGTTTCATAAGTCATCCATTATTCGCTGTTGAGTTTAGCATTTATAATAGTGCAACTGAAATTCGACAAACTCGCAGTGGTGTTGGTACCTGTCAACATTATTTTAAAAATGATGAATATGCAAATATAATTGAGGGTACAATTAGTTGGGATGGAACATCACTTCTCAAACAAGAACTATTTAATACGATTGATACACTTCAAGATGCTTTAGTTACAGTACGACCATCAACTCCATGTCCATGTAAGAATATAGAAGCACAAGTTGTCGATCCAAATACAATGTTGCTAAGAAATTTGGAAACAAAAGGTTATTTTTATGCTGACAGTCGTTCAATTGAATACAAATCTGTAAGACCCGATGATGGTGGTACATCTTTACGATTGGAATTTAAAAAGAAAGGCGCAAATTATACTGGAACATTATCATATTTAATGAGAGGAATATCATGGTCTCCAAATTATGATTTATTTATTAAAGATGCAGATAGTGAGTTCTTTATAGATTGAATTAGAAAAAAAAACGAAATCCTTTTTTTTTCTCTTTGATTTAAGCTTGTAATCTTCGAGCTTATGCTAATATTCGTAATAATCAACAACAAGAATATCAAGTTGATAATACTTATTTATATAGTGGTGATATTCCATTAGTAAATAATTATGTATCAGATATGTCTTATTCAATGATGCGAAAAGGAGCATCACCAGAATTTGCTGCTGCATCATCTATTCAATATGGTGGTGAACAGCAAGGTTTTTATTTTTATTCACTGAATGATAAATATACTTTATATTCAAGAAGTTCAATTCGTTTACCATTTATTACTGTTTATCCTACATGTAAATTTTATTATAAAACAGCAACAAGTATTGGTACTGGACAATATAAAGGTGTATTTCAACGAAATTATGATATAACACCAGATCAATTTTTACCAGCTGGAATTTTAACTATTCGAGATAATCAAGTATTAATGGGTCAATCAAGTTTACCTGATGTTCCGGAGAATTATCCACAAACGGTTACTCTAGGTCAAGATAATGATGTTCGGTATACAGTCAAAGGAAATATGACAGCATCAAATAAAGATACAACAACAACTACTTGGCAAACATATGAACTTAAGTTGACAATATCTAATTATAAAGATAAAGCTGTCGATGGTGAACTTGATTTTTATGGAGCTAGTCAAACACGTATTGAAAAAACAACATGTAATTCAGCTACACTTGATGGAAGCATGATTAATGTACCATTTCAAGTTAAAAAGAATGATAGTTATCAATGTCGAATTACTGTTACTCTCACATGGGGATAAATTAAAGGACAAATAAAAAAAAATCTGGGTGATGGGTTAAAAAATTTTTATTAATTGTTTGTTCGACATAAGAATTGAATAAACATAAGAAATGGGGATTGAATTGTTTTTCAAATTTGTTGATAATAATTCCAAGTCACTCAATACCTTCATTTATTCAATTTATTTTACTTAAAGGATGTTCCATAATAACTGAGGATAAATTGTTAACAATATCTGTTCCTACATTTTTTTTTTGACGTACAAGACTGAAATTTTTATTACATATATATGTATAACTCAAACCTTTGATTTTCTAAAGTTTTCATTTCTCTAACTAAATCTAATGTTGAAATACATGGACAATTTTAATATACATGAATTTTTGTAGTTGATTTTTATGAAATGTTTATTTCTTAACCAGTGATATGTATATAAACATCTACTGGAAAGAAACCTTGCAAGAGAAATTTTTGCAAAAAATGTAAATTATAATAAAACTCAATGTATATAAATATACTCTCTATTGCTTCTTATGAGCAACTTTAATTGATAAGATATTTCGTCTATCATTTTCTCTTTCAAATATTTTTCCACGAACTTTTTTATTCAGTACATTCGGCACATGTCATTATTATCAATTATCACACATAGGATAGAACTTGTCAAGTTCGCTAATCCGATTTGATGCGGCATTCGAATTTTACCATTGATAAGTTGTATTTGTTTTATATTGTAAAATTCTTTTTTCTCGAATTTTACATTACTATTTATATCGTATATGACGAAATAAATTCTGAATGAGCAACAACATACAGAATGGTACATCTATGTGATATCCCTAGACATTAATAGGTGTCAGTAACATATTTTCTTTTCACGAATATTATACGATTTTGTTTTTAATTGAAATGTATGATTACGATTAAGGCGTCAAATTGCTCCATGAAAAGCAGGAGGTAGAAAAAGAGAGCGTCATATGTATACAGATAATAGATGATGCTGTGACCTATCGCTCAAACAATAGCTATTGTGAGGTCGAGGTGACAGACGATGTATTATGAGTACTCAAGATGAAAGTACTTATGGATGAAATATCTCATCTTTTTTTTTTCAAAGTTATGATGACTGTTTTTTGATGTGAGAAGGAAACAATTAACAAATTTCATCTAACTATTGACTGCGTGTTTTAACAAAGGAACTTATCAAGGTGCTAAAAGTTTTTCCAACTGAGAAGATAATTATTCGATTATGAATAGCAAGAAATGAAGTAACTTAAAATGGTTTCTGTACAAGTTGCTTCTAACTGGAGTTATGAATTGTCTAAGTCCGAAACAAAATTTTCAATTTCATTTTTAAAACTTAATTTTCTCAAAGAAGTAAAGATGTATCAGACTGAAATTTTTTCTTATGTATATCCAAAAAAAATGGACTTGTTCATTTGTAAATTTCAGCTCAAAACAAACGAAATTTCCAAAATTTTCTCCCTAATCTTGTAGTTTTCATTTTTTCAGCATTTAATGACAAAAGATTCTTATGATCGAAATTTTCATACTATTCTCAAGTAAAACCAGACTATATATTTTGTAACAAGATGCTAATCTCTTTCTTTGTATATATATATACAATAGTTTGCAAAAAAACTTGGAACAAATTTTTAGTCTATATTGACGCCTATTTCAACTACTTTCAAAAAAAATATTTCTTTATTTAATACATAGTAATATACAGTTTTACAATATGCAGCTCAATAGTTAACTCGTCTTCCCTTTTACTCAGTAACTAAGGAACATCTATTTTTCATGCTGTTAATCAAATTGATTATAACAGTTTTTTCAATTTTTTTTCCATTCTTCATCGATAAAAATTTTCACCTCATTAACATTTGTTGCTTTTCTTTTTTCAATCCGATGTTTCATAATGGTCCGCATATTTTCAAGCGAATTGAGATTCGGACTATTCAATAGCCAGTCTACAATAAGTGGAACATTAGCAACCAACCATCTTTTAGTTGTTGAAGATCGATGCTTGCGGTCGTTATCTTGTTGAACTCGACATTTATTATTAAATTGTCGTTTAGCATTGGAAATCAAGTTGTTTCCTTATATTTTGATGTAATAATCACTGCTCTAATATTTTGAAATGAATGGAAACCAACTGTTCCATGATAACTGGTAGAATCTCAAACATGAAATTTTTGTCGATTTTCAACCATTTGCTTGCTCGATGTTGTAGAGAATCTTGAGTTCGGAGCTTTTTCAACTGATAACTGATTGTAGACAATGGTATCTTCGTATCTCAGTGGATTTTTCTGACAGAACGAATTCCCATGTTCCAATAATATAATACAGAAATATAATGTGTTTTTAGTCTGTTTATCTTTACCATGTCAGGTTATAAATAAAGAGCGACAAAATAGAAATTAATCAAATATACAAATATTATTAGCAGATAGTCTAGTAAGTCTAAACCTACAATAACAGTAAAATAAATGCTCAAGGGAATCTAGAAAATATAAAATATTTATACTGTCAGTTTGTTCCAAGTTTTTTTGCAAACCATTGTATATATATATACGCGAGTATCAAACAAAGAATAGACGAGAGAATCTCGAAGGATCCGATTCTTATTTATACCCTATTTCAATTGTTGTAGTATGTCTATGACAATGCAGAGAATAAAAGAAAGAATATATTATGAAAGGGAGACCATATGGTTTATTATCGTCCAAAGAACAAACAATGAGTTCAGTGAGTCGAATCACGCAATTATCCCTAGGACAAGTGTCTGAAAGATTTCCAATTCTATCATCACTTATTCAATCTCATAAAAGAAGAACTCGATGATCGATTGTTTAATTTATTTGAGTTAATATAGACAAATACTTCATATAATCAAGAGGAGAAAACAATTTCGACCTATAGTAGATCTGTCAATGAAATAGATAGGTGCAAAAAATGATTCTGATCATATATATAATATTTAAACCTTTAATTCAAATATAAAAATTTTTAATAATTGAATAGATGAAGTTTCGAACATAAAAATATTCTTGGTTGAAGTAATACTAGAGAATGATTCGGAGAGTACTTCAACAAGTGATCGTACTATGAAGTCTTTTGACATATATTCGTACTCATTTGGATTGCTATCCGACAATTCAACAGTTAATACTTGAATTTGTAATACTCAATAGGTGAATGCTTGACATTGATTGAATCAAGTTTAAATATTTACACAACTATTAATAAAACATGAAAAGTTACAGAGATTATAGGAAGTAAATTTTTATTTTTTTCATAACTTCTTATCATTTTTAAGCTGAAATTGTAAAATGATCAAGTTCATTTTTTGGAATAGACATAGTAAAACTTTCAGTTCAATACACGTTTACCTCGTTTCTAAGTTAGAGAATTTATAACTCTAGTTGAAAAACAACTTGCATTCAAACCATATCTTATGTTATCTCACTTCTCATCATGCTCAATGAAATCATCATCTTCCTATTTGAAATATATCTTTTATATCCTTCAGTAGTTTACTCGATAATATGATTTAGGTTAATCATAATTGTATATTCAAATTGATTGATCAACTTATAATGATTATTTATATAATATTCAATTGATAATCAAATCATATAAAATATTTTAATCAATCATAATCATCTCGTTCATATTGTTCGGTCACTTTGAACTATAATTATTATTGATTATGTTGCATGCAGATATAATTGAATTTCCGTTTCTAGATCCTGTTCTTTTAGCTTAGAGAATATTTCTAAATAAAGATAATTTCATTTGAAACCAATCACATTTTTATATAAGTATAAACATGTAGAGGAAACATACAGTTTTATTTTCTTACATTATAGATAACTATCGCCTGACTAATAATTTCCAAAAATGTGATTGAATTTATTAATTATAACGTTTAACAGAAAATTTTTATATTATTCAGTTTTATTTAACAATAATTATCTACATGCAATAGAAATGTGTATAAATTCTAGTGTGATATTAATAGATTTTAACTACGACGAAATAAAAAAAAAAGAAAGCAACATCATAAAAATGGGTCATTGAGTATGCAAACGCTGTCCATTATCGACTAATTACTTATATCTTCATAGTCATAAATCGAAATTTTCAGTAAACATAATATATTAAGAATATTTTTAGTTGGAGTATTTTTAATATTTACTCTCTAATTATATATATATATTTCGTATTTAATAGATTTCTGTCACTAATATAAATCATCAATCTGCGTCAAAGCTTTCCTCAAAATAATTACGAATATTTCATTAGAGGAAAAAAAATTATCACAATTATTCTTGACTCATCTATATTTCATAGATAAAATAGCAATTGTGAAAGCATGTATACATAGGAAAAAACACAATTACATGATATACGAAACAAGTTGAGCAATAGTGAGAAACTCAAAAAAAAAAACGAAAATAAAGAGAAATATATATATATATATGTATATTAATTTCCAGTGGGAGAAAAAAAAATATCAGCTTGAAAATAAAACAAACAACAATAAACAATGAAAATAAAAACAAGAAAAAAAAACAATCTGGCTACTCATAGGGAGCTGTTATTTGTTATGGCTATGGTTAGAAGGCAAATTAAGATGATAAATTAACTGCTTAGCAGTTATTAAAGAGCATTGGCATAAATATACACACACACATACACAGAGAAAACAATAAAACTCGACAACGAAGATGATAAAGTGAGTCTTACAATCACCGGTAAAATACCATGAGATAACCGATAAAATAGTTAAATAGGAAAATAGTTTATTTGT